CAACCTGTTTTTAACTTACTCTACACAATACATATTTTCTAGAGAATCAATTTTGATTGAATGCTCTATGAAACGAACAAAAACTAACAAATCTTTCACCTCTGCTCTCAACCTAACGCACTCCTTCAATTCATTATTTGAAGCTACCGAAGATTGTGAAAAGGTATCTAATATCGTAATAAATTGTTGCTATAACAAATTGTTGTTAATAAGGCTTAACAAACAGTTTGTTATTTAAATTCAAGCTGCTATATAGAATATATAGGAGTTGTTATTTTAGATTTGTTATTTTTTAATGTATTTGCTAGAGTTGTTAAATTTTCCAGCAACAACTTCATGTATTTATATAACACATTATTGAGAAATACAACATCGGAGAAAATCATTTTACATGGTATCAGAGCTTGGCCGAAAACCTTGAGACCTGCACATGGAAACCCTAAGAAATGGTGGTGAGAGTACTGCGACATCTTCAGCAATTGAAGATGCTCAAAGAAAGAAAACTTCCCCATATGATCTCAACTCCAGTGACAATCCTGGAAACATAATTACTCAAGTGCAATTGAAAGGTGATACTATGATGAATGAGCTAGAGCTATGAAGAGGTCATTGAGAGCCAGAAAAAAGTGGAGTTTCATTGACGGAACCATAGTAGAACCCAAAGAAGGATCCCCAGATTTTGAAGATTGGTGCACTGTCTAAGCCATGTTGGTTTCATGGATCTTGAATACAGTAGAACCAAAACTGAGAACTTCCATATCATACTTAGAAATAGCCAAGGAGGTGTGGGATGACATTAAAGAAAGATTTTTTTTATTATGAGTGGACCCCGAATTAACCAGTTGAAATTAGAACTAGCACAATGTAAGCAAGGAGGGATGTCCATAATAGCCTATTATGAAAAACTGAAAGCACTGTGGGATGATCTCACAACTCATGAACCAGTTATCATCTGCACCTGTGGAGTTGCTGCGAAACTTGAGAAACGCAAGGAAGAAGAAAGATGTCACATTTTTTTAATGGGTCTCGACGACACAACATATGGACCGATTCGTTCCAATTTGTTTGCGTCTGATCCATTGTCTTCATTGAATAAAATGTATGCCATTCTTATTCAGGAAGAACGTGTGCGCAACATCACTCAAGAAAGAGATGTACGACCCGACGCTATGGCTCTCACCGTTGAAGCAAATGTAAAGGCGAGGGATCGTGACAACAGCAAAGTGACTTGCACTCACTGTAACCGAAGTGGTCATGAGGCAGCAGACTGCTTTCTGCTCATTGGATACCCAGAATGGTGGGGGGATCATCCCCGCAATGGAGACCGCACCGCTGCGCGCTGACGCCCACAAAATGGCAGTGATGGAACTGGCTCTTGCTCTCCTAAAGGCCCTATCTGTGCCAACTTAGCTCAAAATACAGGGTCTAATCTTGGTAATAATAATGTGGAACCTGGAGGTTTGAGCAACGAACAGTGGAAAACTTCAGTAGAAATGCTCAATTCATCCAAAGTCTCTCCAAATGAAAGCATGACTGGTAAGTCTAAAAATGATGCATGGATTCTTAATAGTGGGGCCTCAAATCACATGACAGGTAACTTACATCATTTGCACAATGTAAGAGACGTCTCTGGATGTTCTGTTGGGCTCCCTAATGGGCAATGTGCTCGCTCTACTAAGGAAGAAACAATAAAGTTTACTGAAAATTTACACCTTCAGCATGTCCTTATGTCCCTCAATTAAATTGCAATTTGATTTCTATTTCTCAATTATCCGATGAGTTAAATTGTAATGTATTCTTCACTGGAAACATATGTGCCATACAGGACCGAACCTCGAAGATGCTGATTGGAGTGGGTGAACGACGGGATGGACTCTATTTCTTTCAAGCAACCCCTAAGAAGACAGTATGCAAGGTTGAAGGAATGCATGAACTAGAAGTGTGGCGCATGAGGTTGAAACATCCTTCATGGAAAACTACTTAGTTTATTTCAAAGGACAGCAATGTTAGCAATTTTAATAAAGTTTGTGATACTTGTCAAAGGGAAAAGCAAACTAGAGACACATGTCCCTTAAGTATTAATCAAGCTTCTAATATATTTGATTTGATTCATTGCGATTTATGCATAACTCGCTCATCTTGTGGCGCTTCTTATTTTTTAACTATTGTTGATGATTGTTCGCGTGCAGTGTGGATATTTTTGTTAATTGATAAGAAACAAGTCACCAAAACGTTGACAATTTTTTTTTTTTGTATGGTAGAAAGGCAATTTGAAAAAAGGGTTAAAACTGTGCGCAGTGACAACGGAACAAAATTTATCTGTATGAAAATTTATTTTTTTGACCATGGAATCATTTTTCAAACTTCATGTACAGGCACACCTCAACAAAATGGGTGAGTCGAACGCAAACATCGTCACATTCTAAATGTTGCACGTGCCTTACGATTCCAAGAAAATTTGCCAATTAAATTTTGGAGTGAGTGTGTTTTAACAGCCGGTTATTTGATCAATCGAACTCCAACCACAATACTAAAAGGCAAGACCCCATATAAAGTGTTAAGTAAACAAGAGCCTTCCTATACACACCTACGTGTTTTTGGCTCTCTCTGTTTTGCTCACAATCATAATACTCTTGGTGACAAATTTACAAGTCGTAGTAGGCGATGTGTATTTATAGGATATCCCTATGGGCAGAAGGGTTGGAGACTTTATGATTTAGAAACTCATGAATTCTTTGTATCAAGAGATGTTCAGTTTTTTGAAAATCAATTCCCCTTCACAAATTCAGAAAACAACCTTAGTTCATCTCTTCTCATACCTACTGAGCCCATGGTCTTTGATGATGCAGAGGACTTGTGAGTTAGGGGGGCACAAGTCGTTCTATAATGGACGTTCCTGCTACTGTGTCAACATCTCCTGCAGTAGACATTAGGGACGCTGCTGTCTCTTTTTCTGCTGCTACTATGACTGAACCTGCAACTTCCTCCACTACTGTCGCTAAGTCTTCTCCTGTTGTTGCATGCACTGATGATTCTGCCCAAGACCTAGAGGCATAAGAAACTCTGAATTCCTCTCATGATACACCTCCTTCTTCACTTCTTTGACGCGGACATTGCGTCAAACAAAAATTCACCAGATTACAGGAGTTTGTCACTAATACTGTTCAAATATTGAGTCCATTCCCGTTTTCATCAGCTTCATCATCGTCTTCAGGTACTCCATATCCTATTGCTCACTATGTTAATTGTGACTGGTTTTCTATGCCCCATAGGCAATTCCTTGCAGCACTTACAAAAGAGCGAACCTTTGTATTTTAATAAGGCAATACAAGATCCTCGGTGGCAACAGGTTATGCAGGATGAGATTGATGCTTTCGAACGAAACGATACCTGGAGCATACAACAATTGCCTCTTGGTAAGAAAGCTCTTGGATGCAAATGGGTGTATTGTATCAAATATAATTCTGATTATACCATTGAGCGTTTTAAAGCTCGCTTAGTCGTTCTTGGAAATCATCAGAAGGAAGGCATAAATTACACAGAGACCTTTGCCCTAGTTGCCAAAATGATAACTGTACGCACTCTTCTTGCTATAGCAGCAGCCAAGTCTTGGGAACTCCATCAAATAGATGTACATGATGCGTTTCTCCATGGAGATCTCCATGATGAGGTGTTCATCCGCATGCCTCCTGGTTTTACCGTTTCTTCACCTCACATGGTGTGCAAATTACACAAATCTTTATATGGCTTGAAGCAGGCTCCGCGTTGTTGGTTCACTAAGTTGTCTCATGCTCTTGTTTCCTATGTCTTTCAGCAATCATGTCTTGATTATTCTCTCTTCACTTTGCATCGCAACGGCATTCAGCTTGCTATTTTAGTTTATGTTGATGATCTCATTATTGCGGGAAATGACTCTTCCGCCATCCAAAGATTTAAAACATATCTTAGTGAATGTTTCCACATGAAAGATCTTGACACATTGAAGTATTTTCTGAGCATTGAGGTTGCTCGTAGTCTTACGGGAATTTTCCTTTGTCAGCGCAAATATGCGCTTGATATTATCTCTGAGACTGGTCTTCTTGGCGCCAAACCGGCTGGCACTCTATTAGAGCAAAATCACCATTTGTCCTCAGACTCTGGCCCACTTCTTGATAACCCGGAGCATTATCGTCGCTTGATTGGGCACCTGATCTATCTTTGCTTCACCCGTCCTGAGCTATGTTTTAGTGTGCACACTTTATCTCAGTTTATGCAGCAATCTCATACTGTGCATTGGGACGCTGCTCTTCGGGTGGTTCGCTTTCTCAAAGACAATCTAGGACAAGGTATATTACTTTCAAGCAGCTGTGATCTCCAGCTTCACGGGTGGTGCGATTCTGACTGGGCTAGTTGTCCTCTCACCCGTCGCTCCGTAACTGGTTGGCTTGTCCAACTGGGCCAGTCTCTTGTTTCGTGGAAAACCAAGAAACAACATACTGTCTCGCGCTCTTCAGCTGAAGCTGAATATCGCTCCATGGCCACAGCTACTTGTGAGCTCAAATGGTTAAAAGGGATTCTTTCTGATCTTGGCATTGCTCACCCCAAACCTATGGTCCTTCACTGTGATAGTCAAGCGGCGTTGCACATCGCCAAAAATCCGATGTTTCATGAACATACCAAATATATTGAAATTGACTGTCATTTTGTCTGCAATGAGGTTCTACAACAAAATATCCTTCTCACTTATATCTCTACAACAGTACAGCTCGCAAACATCTTCACCAAGGCATTAGGCAAAGCTCAATTCGAGTTCTTGATGAGCAAGTTGAGCATTATGAATCTTCATGCTTCTACTTGAGGGGAGTAATATCGTAACAAATTGTTGCTATAACAAATTGTTGTTAAAAAGACTTAACAAATAATTTGTTATTTAAATTCAAGTGCTATATAGAATATATAGGAGTTATTATAGAATTGTTATTTTTAACGTATCTGCTAGAGTTGTTAAATTTTCCAGCAACAACTTCATGTATTTATTCAACACATTATTGAGAAATACAACGTTGGAGAAAATTATTTTACAGTATCCAACAAGAAATAAGTAGCAACTTCAATTAGATTATGCATGCTGTTGTTTCGTCCTTCCACTTTAGAGCCAACTGAGAAATTTGCTTGGTTGAAGAACCATTTTCACCAAAAGTTCTTGCAGCTGCCACCTTAAGCTCTTTCATACGGTGAAGAAGCTTCTTCCCTTCCTCTCCTTCCATAAGCTTCTTCACAACACTCGCTATTTCTTCTCTTTCCACCAATCCACTCTCACAAACCTTTGGTCTAAGAGCCACTTTTATGTCTTCTGTGACCAAAACAGCATTCATCTTCTGCTCCGCATAGAGTGGCCAAGCCACTAATGGCACCCCATTCAACACACTCTCAAGGATTGAGTTCCAACCGCAATGGCTCACAAACCCACCGGTGGATCCATGACTCAGGACTTGGGCCTGTGGGGCCCAATTCGGCACCACCAGGCTCCTCCCTTTGTTCCTCTCCAGAAACCCATTTGGCAAGAAATCAAGAGGGTCAGGGTCAGAATCCACAGTCAAATAAGAAGCATTGGGAATGTAATCATTGGGGCACTTCGCAACCCACAAGAACCTTTTCTCACTCATTTCCAACCCCAAAGCAAGTTCTTCTGTTTGAGCACGGGACAGGGTTCCACCGCTGCCAAAACACACAAACACAACAGTGCCACGTGGCTGCTCATCCAACCACTTCAAACATAAGCACTTATCCTCGGTTTGAGCAATGTCTTTATTAACTAGCGGTCCGACCGGATAAACCGGCGGTCTACCCGGTTCTTCCTTTAGCAACAACTTAATAACTTGGGGTTCAAGCTCGGCAAAACTGTTGGCTATGATTCCTTTGGCCAAACTGAACCGCTTGCAGTTACTGAGGAGCAAGTTATAGGTGTCGTCGTTTCGGTCTTGAACCGGGTCCATCAAGTCTTTACCGTGAATGGGAATGCAACCGGGGATGTGAACCGGTTCAGGGAGGTCCCTGAACTCGCTATGAACTTCTTGGTCGAGTCGGGGTAGGTAAAAGACGAAGGACAAAGCCATGGCCGTAGAGGTGAAAAAGATGTAAGAGGGGATGTTGAGTTCTCCGGCGACGTCGAAGACGTCGGTGCAGAAGGGGTCGACGATGAGGGCGGTGACATGGTGGGTGGCGACGAGGGAGTGGCGGAGAGAAGGGAGAGAGCGGAGGACGGTGAGGAAGATTAGGGTTTCGATTTTGGTGTTGGGTGGAAGGTCTGAGAGAGAGACTTGGGGGAGGAACACATGCGAAATGGCACGTGACAAGGAGCTGAAGAGGGTGATTTGGGGCTTTGTCGGAGGGGTGCTGGTGGGTATGAAGAACTTGACGTGGAGGTTGTGGTGGCGAGTGAGTCTCTTTGCGAACTCAATCATTGGGATGAGATGTCCCATTCCTGGGCTTGGCATCATGGCCACTATGGGGGGAAGTTCTTGTTTTGTGCTGATAAGGGAATGTTTTTGTTCTTCCATGGAAATATTGTATGCCTTTGTGGTTGTGGTTTGATTTGTTTATTTGGGTTCGGGAATGATGGTGATAGCAGCGTAGGAGAATGGAGGGGTATTATAGTATTATGGAGGGAGGTCTGGGTTCATTAATTTGTGGTGAGTGAAGCTATCAAATTTAATTCGTTTTTGGCTTTACTTGAATTCCATTATGTAATCAGTCCACGACAATATCTAAGAAAAAACAGTAAAGAAAAAGATAAAGAGACAAAAAGTGCTCAGTCGTGGGCTTTTTTGCGGGAAAAATTGAAAAATAATTTCTCTAAGCTGGAAACAAATATGTTTTCTCTCTCGAGTTATTCTTGTCCCATCACTTTTAAGTACGAATAAATACCCTCGTTTCTATTAAATTTAACAATATATAGCCCTTTTGATCTCTCGACAATTGAAGAAGATGGAAGAGATTAAAGATTCAAGAAGATGCCAAGTGCTTTTAGTCTATCCATTCTTACTTTCCAATAGCATACTTATTGAATGATCTCAAATGCAAGGAAGCCAATGAGCTAACGTATAACGTTGTTTAGCGAAAAGTTTTATTGGCATTTGGGGTGAGTGGTATGGGTAAAACCCAAGTTTTACGATTAATACTTTTACCAATGTCTGGTTTTCGAAAAACCTTTGCTAAGCGAGTTTCTTTCCTGTTTCAACGATTCAACGAAGATGCGCACCCTAAAAACGGAAAACCATTACTGAAGAGTGGACTTCTTTCCAACAAACAGCAAGTTTGATTCAAACAAAGATATGTCGGAATTAGCTCAGAATAAATGATAATAATAAATTAATCTAAAGATTACATTCCAAACAAAATTCAGTTTTTTTTTTTAATTTTTTTCAAACCTCAAAGCTTGGCCTTTTTTTATATGGTTTTGTTTTATTTTAAAATTATAATAATATGATATTTTTGATAAAATTATATTAATATGGTTTTATAAAATTGTCAGTGACATTTTTATCCGTCGGAATTATAATTACACTAAAACTCGTTAACAGTGAGTTTTTAAGAATTGTACAAAAAATTGCCATTGACAAAATTCAAGTGAAATTTTTTTTTCTCAATTAAAATTGTCATTGATGACTTTTCATGCTGAAAAAATAATAATAAAATCTCTAAAAACTAGTCATTAGCTACTTCTCAATCTTAAAAATAATTAAAAAATAGTAAAATATTTTTTATTTTTGTATCTATAAATATTGATTTCTTCGTTCTTAACAAATTGCAACCGAAAAAAAAGAAAGATTTTTATATAGAGGTTGAATTAATTCATTGAGAAAAATATGAGTGTGTCAATATTTATATGCTTTAATGGTGAAATTTTTATACAAAAGATGTGTTATTTATATGCAAAAGGTTAACATGTATATATATATATATATATATATATATATATATATATATATATATATATATATATGAGAGATAATGTATAATATAGAGAATAAACATATTAGCTTACTCAATATATTGAGGTTACTTGAACTTCAAAAAATAGTAGAAAGTCCTGAATATAAGTGTCCAATATTTATATTTGGTGGTTGCAATATCATAAAGTTTTAATATTGAAAGATGATGATGTTTAACAAATGTTTCAAATACATAAAAAAAATATCATCTTAACTCATGTCATTGAGTTATATGTTGTTTTCAAAATAATTACAGTTAACATTTATTAAAAGAAGATGATGAGAAAACATATGTAAGTACCATGTCAAAAAGATAGGTAAAATAGGATAAGAGTAACAATAAAAATGATGATAATGAATTTGAAGGTAGTATGGAAGCAATGAGGACATGGATGATGATGATGATAACAATGCCTATTTGTCAGTCAAATATAGGCATTGGACAACGTCCGTTTAAAGAGCCACCCTTTATATGTTTATTAAATATTGATGTTATGCATGCATATGAGATTCTTGAATATGTAAACTTGAGTATTTGTTGTTTTTAATTATGCTATTGATTAATTAAATTTTAGTCTTTTAATTAGTTTATATTTATGTGTGCATTTGATAGGTCATTGTAATTAAGATAAAGAATTATATGTTCAAAAGCAATTCAACGATAGAGAAATTATTATATAAATAATTAAGCATTAGAGTATATTAAATGGGATGGATTACAAAGTGCTCGAGTCAAAATCAAATATGTTTTATTATAAATGTGTGAGATTCAGATGGTTTTTTCGTGCTACTTTTAAAAAAAATAAATATATTTTGGAGATAGAAAAGTATAATGGTCTGCACGCGTGTGTAAAGGGCAAAGATTTATTAGAATCATAGGAAATGAGATTAAGACAGAATTGCATAATGTATTAAGCTAATTATAGAGTTCAACCCTTCCTTTAAAATACACCCCTACTTGACAAGATTTAGTCTCAATATGGATACATAACAACAAATATAATCATCAACTACAATTTAAGCACATGTAAGGAAGGAAAAGAAGTGTCAAACACTAACTATAATTTCCAATTTCATTTATATGTCTCAATAAATACAAAAATTTTGCATGCATCACATAATTACTTTTATTTGGAATTAGAACACATTTTAACAAAAAAAAAATTATATATTTGTGCATACGTTGTACTCTTATAATACTGTATTGTGTTAGTCACTTTAATCTAATTTTAAATTCTTCAATATTATTTGTTGTATTGGTTGGCGGCCTAATAACTCATCACACATATTTTAAATCACTGCACGATATGGATTAGTAGAACAAAATCACCAATTACCTCTAGACCATTGATCCAAAGTCAAAACAACATGAAAATATTTTTTAATATAATTATGCATTTTCTACGACATAGATGCAATGAGTGTCTTAAATCTTTATTGTTCCACAATTGCATTAAAAAAAAGGATAGTAAATTTACATTCAAAAAATTTTAGAAACCCAATCAAAGCTAACATTGCATAATATGTCATTTATTTCTTTCAGATATGCATTATAGACAAGTGATGAAGGCATAATTGTCTCATTTTATATTATAAAAAAATATAATAGTCATGACAAAAAAATTTTTTACCAAAACATTTATCAATTTCATAAACAATAATTACAAATATTACCTAAATTATTACATTAATATAAATATATATTACAATTTATTATATTTACTAACTAATTATACCATAAAAATACATTTACGTTATTTTTTAAAGTTATAAAATTTTAACAATATGTTAATAAATGTCAAAAATACTAATTACAAAAATTTTAACAAATTTAATTAATTTGAAAAGTTATAATAATAAAAAAATTTACTTATATCAAATAACGTGTTCATTTTTTTTTTCAATTTCTTAATTATATTAAAAAATTTCAATTAATTCTAAAAAAGATATTATAAATATTTGGATAAATGTGTTTTTTTTTTTTTGCATATTACTCAAGAATATTGATAAATGTAATTGATTTTTTTTTTTTTATCAAAACCAAATTATGAATAAAATTCTCTCTCTCTCTCTCTCTCTCTCTACCTTCTACTTCTACTTCAAACTTTTCTCAACTTCTTTTATGTGCATGGCTTCCTGTTGTACCTGAACCCCTATCTATAGCATGAAAGGTATCCAATGGTATTTGTTACTTTCAAGAGTGCTTCTTCCTTGCCTTCAAGAATGAAAATAGCAAAGATTTCACCCAAAAATCACTAATGGTGATTTTTTAGAGCATGCTAAGATTTTTGAAAAAATTTATTATATTATAGTTACGATTTAGATTCCTTTACCTAGTTAAAGTCGTCAATGATGATTTTTAAGGAGTTCAGATTTTATAGAGTTTAGCTCGCCATAAAAGATAGTTATAGACTCAAAGATTATTAATAGCGCATTTTCAAGCATTTATCACTTTGTTCAATCACATGTATGGTGATAATGAAATCCTTAATAATGCATATGATATTTTTGTTTATCAAAAAATTGGTAATGATATTTTTTTGAATCTATATATTCAAGTAATTTTACAAAAAGTTCACATTTTTATAATTTTAATTTTTATTTCCCATGTTTAAATTATTTTTCCCTTTTAAGATCTGAATTCTCTCGTGTTCAAGCACAAACATGATGGTCATATTAGTGTATTTTTACACTTTCACTTAAGTTAAAGTGAAATTTCACCCACTTAAGCGAAAGTATAAAAATACACTAATATGATCCTAACTTAATATGAGAGAATCCTTTCTCCAAAACTTATCTTTCCTTTTAATTTTATTTTTTTTATAAATTCTTTTTAAAGTTCACACCTAATTTCTTTCAAATATTCTTTCATTTTTATGTAGTAATAATAAAAATAATAATCTTATTCATTCCACATTTATCTAAAAAATTTCTAAAATATTATTCATCATATAATTTATTTTATAATATAATATAAATTTACTTAATAAATTAAATTATTCTAATTTAGTTAATAATATTTTATTTTTATTCAATTTATTTGTCAATATATTAATTTTAAAATGAATTGAATAACAATATAATATAAATTTATTAAATATATTCATCATATCAAATTAATTTTAACTAAAATTTAGTATACAAATTGCTTATTATATTATTCATTTAAAGTTAACTTAACTAATTAAATAGAGTACAATTTTATTGCATTTTAAAATAATTAAACTTTTTCCAATATCTTTAAATAAAATAACTAACTAAAAATATTATCAAAGTAAACTTATTCAGATATTTTAACTAATAAATATCAAAAAATTAATTAAAAAATTATAACCTACTAAATTTTCTCAAAATTCTTTAAATGATCTTTCAAATTTCTAATTTTTTTATCAATGCATCTTAACTACATCCTATTTTTTTTTTAAATAAAGGAGTTTTGCTATGTCAATTTATTTAGTAAATATAAACACAACCAAACATATAAATCAATTAATTAGAGTTGTTTGAGTTTAACTTTATCATCTTGAATTTGAATATGCATAGATGTAAGGAAAAGAAATTTAAAATAAATTAATTTAACAAATT